TTTTTTTTTACAGTGTACAGTATACACACCTTCAAGCTTCCTTTCTTGCAGTACTGCATAACGATACAGACATTTGGTGGCTCAATGCACACACCGAAGAACTGTACTAGGTTCTCGTGTTTCATTTCTTTCACCTACAGCAGGGATAAATACAAGCATTAGAGTATTAGCAAACTATTGGCCTGTGACTTCATTGAATCTCTGAAAATACTGGGAATTTTACCGTGTTGAACTCTGCAATGATCAATGGTTTCTTGATATCAGTAATCATTTGATTTTTCAAATACTTTATGCCCACTTCGTTTCCCTGCACCATGAGCAAAGAGAGTGAGTTAGTTGAAATATTTGGGTTTAACATGTAAGACATTATTTTCTAATATGTGATTCAGAGTTGGTACCTGATAGAGTCCAATAGTAGCGTAGATGGCTTCTCTATTACTACAGCTGTTTGAGGAGAGCATGGATTGAGAGCCACCACTTCCACATTTGCTTGGTGTTGTGCTTACAGACAGTGTTTGTGTTCCCTGTATAACCCACAATAATACTGCTGTTTATGTATGTGTTAATGTTCTGCCATTAAAATACGATGGCATTTTCATAGTACATATACAGTACAGTATGTCTTCATATGCGTGTAGATGTTTTGGCCGTTTTTACTCAACTTGCTTAAAAAGACCAGCTTGGAGTTAGATTAATATGTTGGTCAAGGCTGGCTTATGCTACATTCAGATTTTACATATACATTGATGGTATTGCTAGTTGGTTTGGTGTTATTATTGATAGATTATTATTGCTAAGCAAAATAGAATAAATAAGAAATAAATTAAACATTTTCAGTAACTGAAATAAACATAATTAGAAAGACTGATGCAAAAGAACAAGTTCATCTTACTTTGGGCTCTCTGAGGATAGTTATTTCATTGTAGTTGATAAGCCACCAGCTGGACTCATCCAGGCGAGACTGTAGATGGGTCTTCTGTAGAGTCAGCAAAGTGATCAAAGCCACTGCTGCCACTCCTAACACAGGCAAAACCACCAGCAGGACCAGCAGAGATATATCTGAAATCAAGTGAAAAGATGTCATTTCAAATACACAAAAAGACTGTATG